TGGATTTCATACAATGGACAGTCACACAGGATGTGGTGTAGCGTCTCTTCGCAATGACGGGTATCGCAGAGAGCGTTGTCGGCCATTCCTATGACAAAGGAGTAAGATTTTGTAAATGCCACTCCTAGCCATGAGCGATGAAGAAGGGTAGCTTCTCTTCGGTCGAGTCCAGTGGGCATGCGGAGAGCCATCAAAGAGAACAGGTGGTGTTGACGATTCGTATCGATGCTTGGTGGGCACCATAGTGAAAACGTGATTTCACGCGCAAGTCGTCGAAGATCACTGACAGTATCAGTCCTCGAAAGTGGCATGGCTTCTTCTCGTGTTCCTTCAAGGGCTGCTCGCGCGGCCGTATCGGCATGTTCGTTCCCTATGATGCCGCAGTGACTTGGCAGCCATTGAAGCATCACATGATGCCCTTTCTCGAGTAAAGTGTGGAGAAGGCATCGAATTTCGAAAACAAGCTGTTAGTACGGGCCGCGACGCAGTGCTGAGAGCACAGATTGTAGGGCAGCCCTTGAGTCCCTGAAAATCGACCATTGTTGCGGTGGTTCCCGATTGACCACACAAAGTGCAGCGTGCAAAGCAGCTAGTTCTGCTGCTGGAGATGCCGTGCAGTGGTCAGTCCTAAAGCTGATGGTAACACCTCTTGCTGGGACAACTACTGCCCCTGACGAACACTGGCGGTTCGTGGAACCATCGGTGTATGCATGTATGGTGTCTGAATATTTCTCGTGCAAAAGAAGAAGAGACAGTTTTTTCAGCATGGGCGACGAAAGCTCAGATTTCCTCCGGATCCCTGGTACACTAAGATGCACTGTGGGTCGAATAAGACACCAAGGTGGTATGGATGGTTTAAATGCATGAGTGAAGCCCGAGGCAAGTTTATCGTTGTATTTCACAATCATTTTGGCGAACGATGCTTGGTGCCTCTCCTAAGGCAACAGTGCAAGGTGATGGCAGGGAGCACGTGCGAAGTGTCTGATGTGCGTTCTCAGAACTTCTACAACAATGTGAGTTTGATTCGGATAGTCACCAGATATTGCAATTGTTGCTTCTGTTGACGTACGTCTGGGCAGACCGAGGCACACTCTCAGCGCTTGGGCTTGTACTGCCTGTAAAACACGAACGTTGGTCTTGCAGGTATTGCTAAGCACGGGCAAGCTCTATCTGAGGAAACCGAGAAACAGGGCTCTGTAGAGCTCCGTCATTGCGTCTACTGACATCCCCCACGTCTTTCCTGCCAGGAACTTGAACAGTTGGGAAATAGCAGTCAGGCGCTTCTTCATATAGGTCACATGCGGACTCCAACAGAGGTCCCTATCAATAATGATGCCCAGAAACCGGTGGGTTTTGCGTAAGAAGTCGGTCGCCCGCAGATTTAGATGACATAAGGGGTCATTGCTTTGCGAGTGAAAGCCACCAGCGCGCATTTTTCTGGTGATATGCTGAGACCTTGTTTGAACAAGTAGTTGGCAATCATAGTTGCTGCTTTTTGAAGCCGGGAACGTATCTGAGGACGTGTGACTGCCGATGTCCAGACACAGATGTCGTCTGCGTATATTGAGATTTTAATGGTGCTTGGCAAGTATTCAGCAAGGCCAATTAGTGCAAGATTGAATAGCGTCGGGCTAAGAACTCCGCCTTGAGGAACAACCCTGAAAGTATAGCGTCGCGTAGTTGGGCCATCTTCTGTTAAGAAAAAGAATGATCTTGCAGCCAGGTAACTCGATATCCACCGAAAGACTCGACCACCAAGGCCAACCACCGCAAGAGCACCCAAAATGGCTTCATGTAGTACATTATCATAAGCGCCTTTCACATCTAGAAACAAAGCTGAAGATAGTCGCTTACGGGATCTTTCGTGCTGAACTTACGAAACTAGATCAACGACATTGTCAATAGAAGAGCGGTCGCGTCGGAAACCAGCCATTGAATTTGGATAAATCTTGTAGTATTCAAGATACCACTCCAGGCGAACCAGTATCAACCGTTCCATTATCTTCCCTACGCAGCTGGCCAGTGCTATTGGGCGGTATGAGGTGAGTTCAAGTGGGGATTTGTCCTGCTTCAAGATGGGTAACAAGCGGCTTACTTTCCAGTCGTCAGGAACATTGCCACCCTGCCACGAGATGTTGCAGAGGCTCAACAGTTCTCTCCTTGCACCTTCCCCAAGGTTGCACAAGGCTCGGTACGGAATGCCATCTGGGCCCGGAGAAGTTGAACGCTTGCAGAGAGCTAGTGCCGCCTCGAGCTCCTCCATTGTAAAAAGGAGGTCCATGTGGTAGTCACGGGAACGGAAGACGTCACCTCTCACTGGAGAATCTGGACGAGTGGTTTGTTTGGCAATCTGCGCACAGAAATCTTCTGCGACATCGATGTCTTGCCTCCTTTGAAATAGCGCGAGCGCTTTCAACGGAAAGCGCTGTTCCGTAGGGTGACGTAGACCTTGCCCAGTTTTCCAGATGTGCGAGAGTGGCTTGTGAGGTTCTAGTGACTGGGAAAACGTTGTCCATCGTTCTGACGCTAATCTGTCCATGCGACGCTGAATCTTCTTTTGCAACCTCCTGGCTGCCCTAAGATCGTGAATTGATTTTGTACGCCGATACCGACGCTCCGCTCGGCGTCGCAGTGCTCGGAGTCGCTCCAACTCTATATCAAAGTCATTTCGTGTGGGAGATATCGTCACCGTGCGAGTGGCGTTTTGGATTGTGCTCTTAATTGTTTCCTTTAAACCAGATCGTAGGCCATCACTGAAAGCATCTTCCATGTTAGATTTGAAGTTGGTCCATTGGACTGCTCGAATGGCCGTCCGTGGACCATAACTAGACAAGCCTTTGACAATAAGGTAGATTAAAATGTGATCACTTACTAGTGTCTCAACATCTGGAAACCACTTGACGTATCTCGCGAGGGAGTTGGAGACAAAGGCAAGGTCGAGACAGCTGCCGCATGTCAACCCTCGAAGAAAAGTGGGGCTGCCGTCATTCAGCAGAGTAAGGCCATAGTTGTAGGCGATGTTTGGTAACCTGCGTCCTCTTGCATTTGTCCGCGTACTTCCCCATGCGTGATTGTGCGCATTGAAATCACCTATGAGGACCCATGGTGCAGGACACACTCTCAAAATATCCACTAATCTCCCTGAATTGAGATTATTCGACGACGATATATAAACGCCTATGAGAGTAAACATGAGTTTGTTCTTTTTCACAGTGATGCAGACATACTGATTGTCATCGTGAGGTGCAATTGGTTGCACAACATACGCCAGTTCACGACGAACAAAGACGATAATTTTGCTGCACGCACCGTTCGTTGAAGACATGACAGCTTCGTACCCCGATAGTCTTATTGGTTTCGACAAATTGGGTTCACAAATGACGATGATTGGAAACACGTTGGTAAACACAAACTGACAAAAATCTGAAAGGCGTGATTTTAGTCCTCTGGCGTTCCATTGGATGACGGATGCAGCCTTGACTTCTTTACGAAATGTTGAGTTGTGAGTAGCCATCTTTCTAGTTGAGAGATTCAAGCACTGGGCTTAGGGCGTCCAATAGTCCAAGTGCGCTTCGAGCAGATGGTGTCTTCATGTCGACTAATATCACTCGGATGGCTTCTATAAGGGAACGCAGCACCGAGATCAATTGACGATCAGTTTTAGGCAAATCTTACATGGTTGGAGACGGCTCTTTGTGGCCACAACCTGCAGAGGTTCCTTGGCAGAACAGTGCGTCGGGAGCGTGGGCCATTCCTCCAGAGAAAAAGGCTTCTCTGTTTCTTTCGTAGAAGTGGTGGGCCCTTTCGCGGTGCTACTAGATGGAACCGCTAAAGAGTGGGAAGGAGCGTCTCGGGAATGTGCCTTCTTTGAAGACTTGCGATGATGCCGATGTCGACGCCGACGCTGGACTACTTCGGCTGCCTCCCTGTGTGTCGAGTTGTCTCGGGCCATTTGTCTGAGAACCGCGCGCTTCTTTTGGATTCGAGGACAGTCTTTCGAGGAGGCAGCATGAGGACCACTGCAGTTGGCGCACTTCAGAGTAGTCGCCCGACAGGCATCTTCAGCATGAGGTTCAGCGCAGCGGGGACACAGTCGTAAGTTGGGGCATACGCCCTTGACGTGTCCTAGCCTGAAGCACTGATGACATTGAAGTGGCTTTTCGATGAATGGTCGAACCGGATGTCGAAAATGTCCAACTTTAACGTGGGACGGTATGCAATCTCCCTTGAAAAACACGTTTACGCAGCGCGTATTTCCAAGGCGCTGCACTTGCGTAATGACAGTTCCCTCGTTTGCAGGCTTGATGAGGGTAGACAAGTCAGCATTAGGAATGGCAGTGTCGATGTCATAAATTACACCGGCAATTGATTTGTCATCCATCGGGATAAAGGGGCGCATTTTAATGCTACCTAGCTCAGTCATTTGCTGCAGCTGTCCTAGCGCACTCACATCGTGCACGTCTATGGCGATAATGTTCTTCCTTGAGTTTACTCGTACGTCCTTAATTTGATGTGGCACCGCAGTTCCGAGAGCAACCGAAAGGGCTTGCCTGTTCAAAAGCCGTAGGTTGCTTGATGGATCTTCGGGCATGAAGATGATGACGTGCGGCCAGCACGCAGGCCTTGAATGCACAGTCGCTGTGCTTGCAGGAGCTGATGCTGCTGTATTCACCGTCCTTCTCTTCGCCCTCTTACCCCGGACAGGTATAAAGCTGCTATCGGATGTGCCGTCTTACGATATAGAATAGAGATCGCTGTCCTCAGTGTCACTGGGAGAGCCAGCTCGCTTCCTTGTAGTTGACGGTTGTGAAGACCTGTGACCAGGCGGGCCTCTGGCATGCTCCATGGCCATCACCGCAAGACGGGGAGGCGAGGCACCTCAAAAGACCGATGATTTCACTAAAATGAAACAGAGCACAGAAACAAGCGTTCTTCTAAAGAGACGCTTCTCCCATCGTGCGTCTTTCGAAGTGGCCCGTTGTCTCGATGCACTGATTTGCATAATTACGTGGTGTCGGATTCCCGGTGGTCACTGGGGCTGGGGTCCAGTGCCGAGGCTTATCCAATGCACTACGGTGGGCTGAAGCACGCAACTATCCTACAGCGGGGTAGCTGGGGCATGTAATGTTTGGTAGTGGGGCTAGGCTTACGCACCGGACCCTGTTATGCTTTAATCAAAAATAAGACCAGAACATATATTACTGGACGATAATCCCACGGTCTATTCTAATAGGTAGCTCAGGTTCAGCGAAAAGTGGTTCAGAAACCAGCGACATCAGCATGGGAAGTTATGGAAGCTGCCATCGAAGCGCGACTCTGTGTGGAGGGAGCAAACGCTAAGAGTGAAAAGCAAAGTTTGACCCTAAGTTGAAGCAGTCACTACGTTTTACAAATGACACGCAAACAACGCTTTATTTCCACTGCAAACGCGGTTTCAACGTAGTTCCACAGATGACGATGATTACGATTGGGGCTTGTTACCTGAGAGTGGCAAGCGCAAGATCATGTAAGACAGGTGGGCGCTGCAACAAGCTACTACCTTGTTAGTACCATGTTGCAGCCCCACTGATAGCCCCTAGAGTGAACACCGGCGTCGCTGCGGTCGCGGTGATGTGACGTCACGGCAAGGACACTCCTTCGCCACTGCTTGTCTCTTCTTCGGCGCCCGCCGCGTACATGCTGTTCAGCGATACGCCTGTGATTACTCCTCAATTGATCATCAAAGACGACACCGTGGTGGCGCCTACCCGTCACCTTGCCTTCTACACCTTATCACATCCGAGACGCATGCGCACGACGACGCGCTTCATTTTCCGAAATAGCTGCCAGATAGCGCTCGTGTCTCACGTGCGACTAGACTTTATGCACTCGTTCGCCTTCGCTGTAGATTCGAGACACTCTAACGCAGCGCTTCCAGAATACCCCCAGAATACCATTCACCGATTTTCTTGCGCGCAACATGAAATAAACGTTTTTTTCACGCTCTCCAGACGCAAGATTATCGTCGTTTTTTTATAGGCCACACTTTTGAAGAAACGTCTTGTTAAAAACTGGCACGCATTACTTTCTGTATTCGCCTAAGAGGAGTTGAAGGCAAAAGCCATAAGGTGCGGCTCGTATGACACGAATTCGTGCGTTGTTACCTGAAGTGTGCGTAAAAATTTGTTTACTGACGCAGACGCTGCAAAGGCGATGTGGACGCACGCATTTCAGATTCCATACCTCACACGACCACCCTGCAGAGCACACAGACCTGCGGTCTTCACCTTAACACGGTCAGGCGCAATATAGTTGTGCATTCAAGTTACTATTTTACTCAACAATGTGAACTACAACAAAAAAATAAACGAATAAACCACTACAATCTTCTTTTACGGGACTACGTTTGAACCCGCGTCTTCACGCTTCGAAGGCGAAGGGATTCGCTACGGGGTACTCGCTTCCTTTAACCACGAAGCTCTGTAGGCTAGCCTCATTTGTGTGGTATATCTCAAAACTATCATAAGCGGTTATGTAGCGCAAAAATAGAGCTTAATGGAAAAACTTGTCGCCGGACCACTAGAAGCGAAGATTGCAACAGTTAGACTAACATCAAAAGTCTGCGAAGCGATGGTGGATCTCTGCAGCGAAGGCTCTCTGTACCGACCGTGCCTTTCTATAGACTCCACGATTGGTCCACTTTTGACCAAGCAATGACATCATGCGATGACGTTATGGGACGCCACAGTAACGTGGTGTTGACGGCTAAAGAACCTTGCCGATCTGGGACGCCACGATGACGTCATATATTGAGACCTCACATTTTATTTCGCATCACTCATGTTGACGACGACGCCACCACCACCGACACCGCCGACGGTTGATTTTCGTGTTTTATGAGACACCTAGGGCTTTTGCTTTATATAAATACGAAGCACGCCGCAGGGGCCGGCCCATCAAATTTCGAACACCCTGGGTTCTTCAACGTCCGCTGACATATGCATGGGGATTTCCATTGAGAGAACAGGAGTATATGGGCAGGGAAGTGAGGAGTGGACGGCAGAACACTGAGAGCAGGGCCACTCAACCTGCCACTAGAATGCGCCGCGCTCCCGGAGGGCAGGTGAGAAGGTGACGAGTAGGAAGACCATGCGACTGAAACATTCCAAGCCCCGGCATATTCTTTGTGGGGCAGCAGCAAAATACGTGGGAAATCGGTCAGCCACATATTCATATTTATCCCAATACCTAGTATGCTTGTTCAGTGACTCATTTGGCAAACGTCCAGTTCTCATCGTAGCCATCCGTACAAACCAGCGGTGTGAAACGACACGTGGTTGCTACCATTGCTGCCACGTCCGCCGGCTTAAGAAAAGTTTGAAGGCTGTGACGTTCAAGAACCATGTGAGTCGTCGTACTACGCTCACTCCACTTTTCAGGCGAGAGCACTGCGAACTGCTTCTGGCTGCCCTCGGTGCAGCAAAAGCACTCTCGCTCTACTAATAGATGACAGTGCTCCTGCACCTGTTCGACCTATGAAACACGCCAGCTCTGAAGAGAGCTCTTTAAGAGTGCTTTTGAGTGCTTCTACTCTCCCAATGGAATGCGCCAATAGACTACTAACACGCCGGCTTCATGAAAATGCGACACCCATGACTGGCATTGAACCCACGAGCTACGAAGGAATGTCCGAGCACTACAACCACTGTACCAGCGAGGTGCACTGACACGCAACTGAAGTGTACAAACAGGGGAGGAGGTATGCTCTGGTTATGGTCAGGTGGCCACAAATCTTTCGAACCTGGCGGCTGCCTCCAGACATTGCGCGACACAGACGTGCACAAGTGTACGGAAAGCGCAGCAGCTGAGGAGGGGTGATAGCGATTTTGGGACGTTAGAGAGCGAAGCAGCAAAAAAAGAAAAGCACAGAGCGCTTCAATGACACAATAGTCACCAGAATGTTTCTCGCAATTTTGCTTTTTAAGCACTAATGTCAAAGAATCTGTGCGAAATAGGATTACAAGTTTGTGTAATAAAAACACTTCTGTGTTGTGAGTTTCTCTGCAGGGTTTTTCAGCTTAGCAGCGTATTCCGTGGCACTTAAATTGATAATCACCACTCGTGCCACATGGTGCGTCTTTCAGAGTGGCCCGTTGTCTCGACGCACTCGTATGCATACTTACCTGGTGTCGGATTCCCGGTGGTCACTGGGGCCGGGAATCCGTGCGGAGGCCCGTCCATTGCACTGCGGTGGGTTGAAGCACGCCACTACCCCAAAGCGGGGTAGGTGGGGCATGTAATTTTTGGTAGTGGGGCTCGGCGTACGCGCCAGCCCCTACCACTTATAAAACCAAAATTAGACTCGATCAAATAACATATGGCGGTTCAACTACAAGACTATGGTAAATTGTGTATGACCATGATCCCGGTTTCAATTCCGGTTCAGTGACAGATAAAGAGATAATAAATTTAACAAGGTACAGCCATAGAGTAACATAGTAAACGTAAACTGTTAGTCTATGGTGTTGCGCGAAGGAGGCACGCACAAGTGAACGTAGTGGGCCGCAAACTCGTGGCATCATGTTGAGACTGTAGTCGCATCTAAGTATCGTACCACGTTTAACTGCTTGTATGTTCGTTTGCGTAGCGAGTGACAACGTGTGTTTTCTCCTGTTCACTTGGTGAGTGACCGCATCTATACAGCGTTATCATGACGATTCACCAGACAAACTTTCGTCGAACTCTTGATTACAGGAAACAATTTCAATGAGTGCCGCAATTAAATAAAACTGGTAAATACTAGAATATATGAGGTTCTTGATGCCGAAGCCACAATATGATTATTTGCTTATTTATCAGAATAACAGTACTCACAGGGATTCTTCTGCATTCGCCCACAGGAGAAAACCGTATTATTCTTGCTTTTTTTCACAGTCGATGCATTGATCCTTTCCTTATATCTGTAGCAAAGGTTTCTTGTGGCCTCCGTGATCGGTTCACCAATTAACAATCAATGACGTCTTGTGAAGGCGCGTGACGTCACAGTAACGTCGTGATGATTGCACAAGCATTGGCGATGTGGGACACGACGACGACGTGGCATGATGTGGTCTCACATAACATTTCGCATCACTCGTGTTGGCGATGACGTTGACGATGACTACGGGGGATTTTCGCGTTGGATGAGGCACTGAAGGTTTTCCTTCCAATATTATTACGAAGCCCGCCGCAGTGGCAGGTATAAGAAATTTTGAACCTCCTAGGTTCTTTAACATGCAGTCGTATCGAATAATACGCTGGCAACTAAAAATTCCAATCCATGAAAATGCAGCCCGAAGAGCGGGGATCGAACCCGCGACCTACGGGTGAGTTGCCGAGCACAATAACCACTGTACTCGCGAGATGCACTAAAACGCAACTGAAGTGTGCGAACAGCGGATGAGGCGTGCTCCGGTTATGGCCAGGCGGCCAGAAGTCCGTAGACCTGGCGGCTGCCTCCAGCCGTTGCGTGACTCAGACGTGCACACACATACACCTGCTGGAAAACGCAGAAGCTTAGGAGTGGTGATAGCGATTTTGGGACGCCCGAGAGCGAAACAGCAAAGAAGCACGGTGCGCTTCACTGGCAGAATAGTCACCAGAATGTTTCTCGCAGTTCTGCTCTTTAAGCACTAATATCAAAGAATCTGTGCGAACTAGGTTTACAAGTTTGTGCAGTCAAAAGACTTTTTAGATGCGGAGCATCTAATACTCGAGGCTTGTAGTGCGGCGCCGTCCGCAAGCTTCCTCCTCCTTCTTCCACCATCTGTGCATCCCTTCCTCCTCTACACACCGCGCGCGCTTCACTCCTCCGCCATCTGTGCACCCTTCCTCCTCTACACACCGCGTGCGCTTCTCCTCTTCACGAACTGACGCGCATGCGCCGTCACGCTTCGAGAACATCGGCAGCTGACGCGCGCGCATGCGCCGTCGCGCTTCGAGAACATCGGCAGCTGACGCGCGCGCATGCGCCGTTGCGCTTCTCCCCCTTCTCGAACATTCGACAGCTGACAGTGCATGCGCCGTCGCGCTGTATATATACTCAAGGTCGGTGCTCGCTCGCTCAGTTGCCGCTCGTCGGTTGGTTTGTACGGCGCGTCGACGTCCGAGGTCGCAATGATCGACGTCCCTTCGACCAGCGCCGG